TCTTTCATCACCAGAGTTCATCTCACGATGGGAATCGAAGTCCTTGCCGAAATCTGTGCCGAGATGCAGGGGCTAATCATAATTTTCTTGGACGAATCATCTATACTCAATTTTGGGTTTCTGCTTTTAATACAAAATCAGATATTGATTATTTTCATACAGCCAATTATATGGTCGGAACATATTAAAGTGTTACGGCCTATTATAAATAGTTGCTATCGTTCCGGCTGCGGTGACAATAATTAGTAGCCGCAGTAGCGAATTTAACTTTGGCATTTGCTAACAACATAAACCTTCTTAGTGCCAGACTACTGAAGAAAAAAACTTGAATGAAGTCATCGATAATATCGGATAAATAATGACTACTACGAATAATTGAGGCTAATCAATTTTAGTTCATGGGTAGATCTTCAGCGCTAGCTATAGAATTCATTTAAACACCTTCGTCCCCCAGTGTTTTTCCTTTCTTTCTCTTCCCTTTTCCTCACCATATCATTCCAAAGCTAAGTATTCTAATTCCGTCCCTTCACTTCCTTATCCATTCTCTCACTTTCTTCTGAGTCACTTGCTAAAATTATACAGGGCACAGTGGGAATATTGGCTATCTTCAGCTCTAATGCTGCTTGTACCTTGATTGCTCTCATGATCCATTGCTCTTCGAAAGCGGTTTACCCTGGGAGTAGCACAGGCATGAGAAATCTCTTGTTCTTTTGGCCAGATGAGATCGATGGTCTTGTCTGAGAACATGTGGGCACGTTGACTTGTGGTATTTGACATATTATATTCGGCTTATGGGATTTGGACTTGTGGGACTCTGACTCTACTCGCATGGGAATTGTGGTTTGGATTATTGTGAGGAAACTTGCATCGTCTTGTATTACATCATCACATTCATGGTTTAGAAGCTTGTGGGGAATCTCGCATCTTCTTGTGTTTTTTTTCCCTTTCGGGGGTTTTTTTAGACACGGCACGTTGAAAACTTTGTGGTTTAGAGGCTTGTGAGGCAACTCACATCTTCTTGTGGCTTACTCGATTTATTTGTGGTTTAGGGGCTTGTGGGGCAACTCGCATCTTCTTGTGGATCATTCTTATGAATGGTATAGAGAACTGAAAGGAAACTCTCATTCTCTTTGACTTAACTTCCATTCACATGGCTAATCGGGATGTGTAAAAGCTTGAGAGGAAACTTTCATCTTTTGGTGGTTTGGCGCAAAGTGTTCTGTGGCTTGGAAGTTTGAGGGGTAACCTTCATCTTCTATTTGCATTTCTTTAAGCAATCTGTGAGATAGAGGCTTGTGAGGCAACTTGCATCTTCTTGTGGCTTATTCTCTTCCGGGCTGCTACATATTCGCATTGAGCTTTATGAGATGTATAGATTCGAAAAATGATGGGCGGCGAACCATCAATATATTGGCTAAATGTGGGTTCTGGGGGCCATTGGGATTGGGGTATCCTACCCTACCTTGAAGGCCTGCTAATCAGAAATATCGATTCAGTGGTATTCAATAGAAAGAAATGTCTATATGTGTATAAAGAAAGACTCCATTATTATCTTTTATTTGTGGCACGTTGTTCCTTCGAATCGGCCAATATCTATAAAATCCCGCTGATCTAGCGCGCCTCTCATCTTGCACTCGCATATCCTACGCACATGCGGAGAATAACACAATTCATTGTCAAAAGGCCTAAGATGCTCATATCTAATGGTTAAGGAAAGAATAAATCCTAGGTCCAAGTACATTCGATAGACGATTTCCTAGCTCGGAAGGATTAGGGGTAGATTACGACCTGATATCACCTTCGCCTGCCAGGCAATATTCAAAACCGGTTGTAGAGAAGTTTTCATGGGGCTATGCATGCAAGATTTCCTTTGAAAATATAGCATTCGAAGTCATATTATTGAGATATCCTAGCAATCTTGACAACAAGATCATTCAAAAACCTTAGGTAAATTAGTTTAACTTTGAAGCATTCACTAGTGGAAATCATTTTCGGGGGTTGCAAACAATTCAAGCGTAGATTTATAAAAACAACATTCTAGTATTATTACTCATGTAAATAATAATGCCTTAAATCATCCCGCCAATTTCCACCCCTTAAAAATCACAAAAGATAAACATATTGTCTACAAATAGTCCGCGGACTATTCATACAAAGAGAATTATTTCTGAACCCTAACAAATGACAAATAAGCAGCAGTGTGCATGGGACCTCTGATGAACAATCCACTACCCCAGCTGCTTGTGGATATCTGAAGAGTACAGAGATCTATTTAGTGTGCAGCCCGACGAGCGAGAGTTGAGTTGCTAGCAACGCTTGAACTTGAGCTAGCTGCAACCTTGCAGTTTGCTGCGTAGTTTGGATTGATAGAGTTGGACAAGGTGTAAGAGGAATCGATAGTGTAAACGTCAGTTCCACTAGTATAACCAGTGTTAACAGCATAACTGGTATCCCATGAGTCGGTATACATAGCACAAGCTTGGCCTTGAGCAACACCATTCAAGTAAAGGATGTAGGTATTGATGAATTGACAAGTTTGTACACTGCCATTTGCAGGTGGATGAGCGACATTAAATGCAGTGGTGGCATCACAAGCTGCTGTGCAAAGGCTGACATCGAATGGTGTATCAGTGAAGAAACGAGATCCGAGGTAAGTATCAGCCTTGTTGCAATCCAATGGAGCATTGATAGAAGCGCCTGCAAGGGATGTAGGAGGATTATATCCAGCTGGTGTTGGGAATGAATTGACATTGTAACCGTTTGATCCTGCAATGACAACACGGAATGTGCTACGCCATTGACCATCGTTGACTGCAGTTTTGGCATCGATTGCACCACCCCAGAAGACACATTTGACGTTGGTCATAGAAGACGGGTTTGTGCAAGAAGCACCTGGATCGACAGATGGGTCGCGTTCAAAGTAAATGTTGAAGGCATTGCATCCAGCGATGTCGGAACACTTGCTAGCGCAGACATTTGTATCGTATGTAGGCAATTGTGTGAATCCCATGTACTTCAAAGCATTGTTGGATGCTTTAAGGTTGACGAAAGATCTAGTAAAGCCAGATGGAGTTGCGGCGCTATTGGCTGCATCGGCAAATGGCTGATAAGCTAAAAAAGAATCTGGATCATCTGCTGGGTTGGTTCCAGTATAGACAGTTGCTGGTTGGGTTGAGCAATCACCGTCTCTGGTCTCGAGTTGACCAGCTTCCCGTTTTGTGGCCAATGTAGTTGCTGTTGCCTTGACAGCTGAACTTGTGGTAACAGCTGCGGCGGCGGAGGAGGTAGCAGCAGTAGGATTATATGTGACGACCTCGGAAGTAATACCGACTGGTACACTTTGAACGGATTGTACAACAGGGTTGAGGGACTTGAAGTCAATCTTTTGAGGATGAGGAGCGGCGTTGGCACCTGCAGCAGTCAATGCAACCAGGGCGAAATCGGTAAAACGCATTTTTAAGGAGAAGGATCTATTAAGATTTGAAAAGAAGGTTTGAATATGAACTCAACGAGAGTGTTTGAAAATTGTTAAGAAGTGAATGGAAAGTTTAGAGAATGAAGGAGTGAGCTGAGGATACTGTGATGGATAATGGAAAACAAATTATACCGAGAGGATTTGACATGTACTTATACAAGATAAATCGCAAGACTATCTACCATGTCCTCGAATTCGAATTGAGGTTCTGAAACTTGATTAAAAGTTCAAAGATACCGATATCGACTTTTGCAATGATAATTGGTGTCGGATATCCCGTTGCTTGACTTTTCACGGAATGTTTTTAGCTGCTTTGATAGTAACTGGAAGTTCAAAGTGCCTAAGAATGAGCTATAGCCACCCCCGAAGCTATTGTAATACTAGTCCAAGTTGTGGCGCCGTCACTAAGCTAGAGTGCATGTTTCCGCTGGATTTTTCGAATGTTAGCAAACCGCCTTGTAAGGTAAGAATAGCCTTCTCAAAATTCATAAGCTCGTTGACGCTCAACCAGAGAATAGTGGGATGGTGGAGATAAGAACCATTTCTTCCTCTTTTTTAAAATTACGAGGGGACTGAGAGTATATGATACGAGAAAAATTGATGAATTGTACCAAAGTATTGTTCCTAAATGAGGTTGATGTCAAAGAGCTATACGGCCGAGCACAACATTGAGCCGCCACTTCTCCACGTACCAGATAGCCAAGATAGGAAGAACACCGTGGCGTCGATCAGAATGGTTTAAACTTTAAACAATAAACAATGCACCGAGATCTTCAGTGCGGTTGTCTGGTTCTGAACTAACCAGTCACAAAATGTCGATCGCCGTTGGATCAACCGATATTCAACAGGGGTGGGTTTATATAAACCTTAGACTATGTCGGGAGATGCAATATCAAGACATTTCTTCTTGTCCAGCGTTGACAAATACTAAGTACCGAAAGTATGGCGCAATATTACCTTCCTGTTCTTACTCGTACGACCGAAAAGTATGCAACCCCGAAGCTAGCTAGAGACTCATACCAAAACATGGTAAACCACAAGAGGACTAACCCGAATCTCTTAGTGGGGGAGTTCAATACTTCCCGGTAGCACGAGTAATTTAATCCGATCTTTAATTACCCAGAATCTGTATCTAGTCAAAGCAACTGGCCTGATCGAATTTCGGAAACAGGGTCCACATGTCAAGAGTGCAGGAGTCTAAATCTGAGAGCTTGGCATTCTACTTCAGATCTAGGTAATTAATAGAGTGAATAACCATTTGAAATGGAATCCAATCGCGAATTTTTCGAACTCCGCACAAATTCGTACTCTCACAATGATGATTGATGTACTCGGTATGTGTATGACTGACTCTTTACCATGATATTCGGCGGCGAAAGTTTTATAAGGAGTGACTTTGATATAGAGATATAGATGGATCACCAATCTTTATCGAGACAATTTTTTATTAATCTATCAGGGTTTTAGAATATCAACTCATGCCATGGCAACTATGAAAGCTCTTGTTCCGATAATTTATTATCACTCAGCGAGACGATAATTGCTTCGCACTCAACTTTTCAATAATCTCGGTTTGAAATGTCTCCAGAAATGTCGAGGAAGCCGTATGACCTCTATACGTATCATCCAAGCAAGAAATGACAGCTTCCATATAGGTAGTTCCCATATGATAAGGGATACTCTTCTTAGCAATACTTAGGAATTTTTCTCTGACCTCTTCTTTATCAATAGTCGTGACATCAAGATCGAGACCCTTTAATGCAGAGTCAAAATGATCCTTTGCGGTCTTCCATGTTGCAATCTCGAGAAGAACTACTCCCAGAGCATATATATCATGAAGTTTGGTAAAAGTCATACGAGGGCGGTCAGGATGAAGGTAAAGAGCATCGCTATTAGTTGTTTGTTGATAGCGTGCATAAGTCTTTCCTTCTTCTGGGCGTGAGTAACCAAAATCCACAAGGTACGGAGACCTGAGCATAAGGCTTTCCTTTGATCGTTGTTTGAAGAATACGACGGACCGACTACACACACTTTTGTGAACCCAGCCATCAGCATGAAATACCCCAATGCTTTTCGCAATCATTTCGGCTACTTGAAATCGAATGGCTAGTGGAAATCGTTGATCTTGTGTTGATGTTTTGATGAGTTCGTGGAGAGATATTGGCTGAGATTGGAGCGCATGCAAGGGGTAGCCAAATACAAAGGCATATCGCTCTTGATCTGGCTCATGAACGTAAAATTTGAAAGGGAGAGTTCGCAATTCCGATCCTGTGGACGATATACTCAGGAGCCCTGCCAGTCGTCGAACATTTGTTTTGGTATCAGCATCAGGATTATTTGGCGTGGCATTGTAATTCTCCTCCAAGGGTGGGTAATATTTGAGCTCAATCAGAACCGACTCTTGTTCAGCAGTATTACCTCCTTCGTGGTTCAACTCAATAGTTCCTGCACTCAGTTCGTTGTCATCTGAAGTAGTCTTGACTTTGCATTGCTTCATTTCGTTTTCATCTGTGTAATCATCCTCATTTTGTTCGTTAAATTCCATAAGTTTCGCGTGGGGAACCAGTCCCAAAATTTGAGCATCACGGTCGTTGATTGTCGCTGTAAGTGCATCGATCTTGTTATCAATCCTGGAGACCTGTGCAGATTGAGCGAGAGGTAAGAGACCCGTCAACTTTTCTGTCTCCCGCCGAAAATTACTGATCGTGGACTCGAGTCGCTTCTTGTCGTAAAGTGCCCATTTTGCTGATTTTACTGCTAACTTAGTGGTTTCCCTTGTTCGACTGAAGAAAGTGTTGAATGATAGCTTCTTGGCTGGTAATTTTACTGGCGGAATCGGATCGTTTTGGTCGTCCAGAGGAAATTCAATGTTGGGGGTACCATACATGCTGTCGTTAACGTATGGCGAATATTGCAGGTAGTATGGGTCGTCCAACTTTCTATAATCATCCAGAGACTTTCGGAGTTCCTCTAGTATATCGTAGATCATCGAAGCCCAATGCTGCGAGATGTTAATATTGATCAACATGAGGAGTTTCTTTCTTATCTTACATTATCAAGCCCATGGGAACCAAGCACATCTTTGTTCTTCAAGTAATGTCGCCCAAATGATCGTATGCGAAGCAAATCATATCGTAAATCGTGTCTCAACTTCTCACGCTCCTCATCGCTCGCTCTTGCTGATTCACAGGCTCGATAGATACATCGTGAGAGGAGATAGACTTCTTTGAAGACTGTTATGAGTCCCATAGCCCCGACTGTTATGCTGAACGGATCCATAATTGCCAGTCATGATACTTCGCGACCAAAACACAAATAACATGCTGGACCATTCAGTATGATAATTTCAAGTTCGTGATGCGAAAAGTATGGAGTCTGGAGAGAAATGTGGCACCATTGTTAATGAGCCCCGCATTGGGGTTACATTGTGGACCAATTTAGAGATAATCCCAGTCATCTGTAAAGCTTCATAAGCAAGGCTGATAATGAGTTTCGAACTGGTGAATGGGATATACAGTCAGCGATTGTCTTTCGTACTGCATTTCTCAACAAGCTGTTGAAACACGATCGGTCGCTTGCCGACCATATTTCCCGCGGACCAACACGCTTGACAATAACACGGATATGAGTGCATGTGCATCAAAATAATATCATCCACAAATCGTGAAATTTGAGCAGATGTCCCAGAAGGCTGCTGAGAGAAATTCAACATCAGGTTCAACATCCAATAATGCTGACCTGAGTTGGAAGATTGATGATATGGCCGAGAGCTCTAGTACCATCAACATGCCGATTTCGAATACTGTCGACCCCTCTTCGTGGGACGAACAACATACAATTTCCAAATACAGCAATTTCAAAGGTTCTGGTGAATCAATCGATGCCCTCGAGGCTATGAAGGAAGTCTTGGAAATAATTTTGCAGAATGATATTCAAGGTCCACAATTATTTCGCCTTAATAGCGAATTTAGCTTGGAACTTGGAAAAGGCACTCAATTCAGAGTAACAGGTGCATCAAAAGAATTTCGATCAAAGCTCAAGCGTGCTCGGAAGCTCGATAATGTAGAGCTCTCTCAAGAAAAAGCCATTCTTTGGGATACGCTAGATACACTGGCCAACTCTGTTGTAAAGCGAGCACTATGGACTCCAGATCTGACCAATCGTCGATTTCTTTCTGAAGCTCATGGTGAAAATCTTTCAAAACAGGATATGGCGAGAGAACTGGAGAGCCAGCTTCGTTCGGCTAAAAAAGAAATTGATAAGCTTTGCAATAAATCATATAGAGAGCATCCTAACATAGTTCGATTGTGGGGATGGGGACTCTGCTTGGATACCTTTGAAGCTAACACGACTCTTAATACGCGAATACCTTTGCTTGTAATGGAGAAGGCCACCTGTGATCTCGCAGACTTCTTGGCGAGCTCAAACTATGCTAAGATATCATTCGAAAGTCTCAGTAAGATTTGTAGCGATATAGGAACTGGACTGGGAGCTCTACACGCTGGCAATGTCACTCACGGAGACATGAAGCCCGAAAATGTTCTGTTGTTTGTTAATGACTCATTGATACAATCAGAAGTGGCCTGGACAGCAAAGTTATGCGACTTTGGCAATGCCGAGTCAAAATCATGGCAAAGATCAACCGTCATTGATAGTCTTGATGCATCGCGGATGTACTCCCCAAAGACAAAAGCATCCGAGCATTTTGCATACGCAGGAACCCCAGGCTGGATTCCTCCAGAAGCATACCCCGAGAAAGGTTCCTTCAAGACCTTTGATTTTGAAAACTTGAAGCGTTGCGATATCTATGTCTATGGACTTATTTTGTGGCGCATGTTTCAAAATGACAATGAACGAGGCGATTACGATAACGGAAGTAAGAAGCGCAAACCGAATCGCAGACACTTGGTTGACGGAGAAAAGATAACCCAGTATCTACCTCCATATGATCTGGCATACAAGGATGCAGCCAAAGCCATCAAAAAAGCAACGGATGTCGGGAAAATACCTACATCGAACGACATGTGGCGGATGCTCCGGGTTGTTAGGGCAGCGCTGCAGCCGATACCTAGATACCGAGACTCCCGTCCCTGGAAGTTTTTCGACACGATATACTATTCGAGCATTCGATCCTTCCAGGAAAATCCAATGCGAGATGAAGTTAGAAGTGAGACATACGAAATATTTTACAGAAATGTTAGGCACAATCGTGATATAGTCTCTGATTTGAGTCTCAGAACATCACGTCGGCTGTGGGAGACACGTTTCTTCTCGGATTTGCCAGGTCCAATTCTATCGATTTACACCTATATCAGACTGAGACTTCCATCTTCAATCGAAAAGCCGCCACGCCAGAAAGCTTTCGAAAACTTGTACGCCGTCGCCTCATCCAAGCTTTCACTCAATTGGAGCTTAGGAGACATTTCACAATTGGATCATGCAGGAGCAAGTTGCTACTCTTTCGCAGAGCTATCCTTAGAACTTGAGCATATGTCTGGATGGTGGGATACTAGAAATTTTGGTTCAGAAGATTCCCATAAACTTTACGCGCTCGCTCGACTGCGTAGTAGATTCAAGGACTGCTGTTGGCAAAGCTGGACCACAAGTTCTGGGGATTTCAATACAGTAGCGCGACTTTTATGCTTTACAAAACCTACAGTGGTTAACCCCAGACTTGGAATACGTCACTATTCAAGCTGGTTAGGATCTTCTATCAGAAATGATTTTTCTGCCCTTGCATGGCTGTGTAGGGGGGAGGTCGGTGAGCGGGAATTGAGAGAGATAGCCAACTCAGAAGTCTATTCATCCCGTCTTTGGCTGTAGACATGTAAAAGAGAAATTTCGTTGTCATATAGACTGGATCTTTTCCACCTCTTCGTAGAGAAAGGGTGTTATGTTGGCCCTCATTTCCGTCAATTTCTAGAAAGCTTGGTGGAAGAATCGGAGTCAATCCACACGAATTATAGTTATATAATCAGTGCATGCGCTAAGGTCATGCAATTCTCCCAGGTAACCTTGAGCCCGAAACCTGATCAGAACCCGACCACCATGGCGATGCGCCGATTTTTTCTCAAGGGAGAATCCCTTGATCATACAGAAGATGAAGTTGATGATTATAATACAAGTACAATACTGCACGAAGCAGTGATTGCTTGTTGTTATCCTGCGGTTGAATACTTTGTTCAGTGCGCCGCAATTCCTCTTATGTTACGTGATAGGGCTGGAAAAACGCCACTCGAACTTGCTCTTGAGGCAAAGAAGAGTCACCTAAAACCATGGAAACTACTTCAAATCAAGGCAATAGTGGGGATCCTTTCCAAAACCTCAAAATCAAAGGCTCGTGTATCTGCGTTACCTCTGGGATGGGAATCTCTCCAACTTAGAGATGGTGTCGATGTATTTTTTGAATCGACGGTGAACCCAAAAATTCCATCGTTGACGTTTCAAGCTCCGAAATTCAGTCTTTTGCAAGAAGCTCGGATACCACTCGGATCTAGGAATTATGGTCATGGAGGTCTGACATATAATTTTGATCTAGTTCGTTTTATGCACCGACCTTTGCTAGATCGGCTGAAAGATGCTCCCATCAAATTCGGCGATAATTGGTACGAATCTGAATGCCCAGGACTTCATTCCTCTGTGGGAGCCTCCATGAAGAAACTCTGGATTCGAGTGATAATTCAAATCTTCAATGCCGCTAGGGTTGTTCTTTTCCGAAGCTATCTCAATATCCTGCTGATATTTCTACCAATAACCCTATTTCTCTCAAGAGATAAAGAGCAAAATAGCATTTTACTGGCCATTTCTTTGTTGGCAGCAGTACCTATTATAGGGAGTCTAGAAGCTGCCCTCAAAGATCTCCATCCTGTGCTACAAGACTCCACTAACCAGACGCTAATCTCGAGAACCGGTAGCTGTGCTGCTGAAGCCTGTGTAAGCCCCCATGCAGTTCTTGTATCCATGTGTACTAAGTTTAAGCCAAAGATCGGTATTATAACAATTAACCGGGGGGACACTGAACTCATCAAATATCTTCTTGCTGGTACTGTTATCTGTAATCAGCTGCTCGTAAGAAATCCTATCATTTTTGTTCATACACATACTGATCTCCTGACTATTTTGTAGATACCCGGCATTTGCTTTGTTGCTGGCGGTATTCATAACATTAGGGCTGGGACGTCGATGGGCATAGAACAACGATTTAACGACACAAGTATTGCTCTAACCTCCACACTAGCCGTAATAGCATCGGTGTTCTCGACGATTGTTTTCTTTTTCGCAGAGACGCAAGATACTTCCTCCCCGCGATTAGAAGCAGACACCATATTCTTATCCCGAGCAATTGCTATCGTGTCCCTTGTTCTATTTGTAATATGGCTTGTCTTTCGACATTATACTCACACCTATATCTTCAATGAGGACTTTCGAGATGGATACGATGATGAGCATAGTCGTCCTAATGTTGCAATTTCTCGTTTCACTAACACACTTGTGGCAATCATTTTCATTGTTTTATTGGCAATGCAAAGTCGTATCATTGTGGCATCATTACAAGGTTTTGATCCCAAAAGCAAACGTGCTTTGGCTTTTGTTTGCATACCACTCCTTCTTCGCTTTTCTAAACATGTCGAAGCTTTCAAGTCGTCAGTCAAAGATGATATGGATCATACATTAGACTTGACCTTGGGGTTTACGGTGACAATTGGCCATTTTGTAGGCCCTTTGCTGGTTGTACTGTCTTGGTCCATGGGCAAAACGTCGACCCTGCTTTGTGATTTATACTGCACAACAGTCATCGCGCTCAGCAGTCTCATAATCAAATACATAGTTACGAATGGGAAATCTAATTGGCTCAGCGGAATGTTATTGATCGTGGTGTAAGTTATCTCGGCATTTCCAAGTTCTTCCTGCTAATATTCTGTCTTAGTTATACCCTCATCATATTTTGTGGTTTCTTAATATAGAGAAAGACGGAGAGTTTCGATTTGCAAGTTGCTTAACACCACGTCAAGGCACACAATCCAACTGGAAGATATCAATTTATATTATGGCTATATGTGATTTCCTATCAATGCTGGATATTTTACTTAGCATGGGCTATTGTTGAAACGCATTAGTATTACCAAAGCTTCACATCATGGAAACAATGGATTGGCCGAATTTAAGTTGTAAACCTTGCATAGATTAATCTTCTACCTATATATTGATCCTTCCATCAAAGATTCTACAGCCAAACGGCAAGCCCCATACCCATGAGTGCAACGTATCACTACCTCTAGACTCGTATAGGAATTACGATCACTGTTCGGCCAGTCAAAGCTGAGCATCCCAAGATGGATTGTGGTTAGCCATATTAGCCCTCAAATTTTCTTGAAATCTCCTATCTTGCTTCGTGTCTCTCCTTTCATCTGCGCCGGCCCGTGTGAGTTGATATTCGACGTCTTGAGCGCATTTGTCGATTATACTTTGTATAGCACGGGCTCTAGTAGAGCTGAGGGCTATTTTGGGCGATCTGAATAAGGGATAACCATTAAGTTGGACAGAAACTTAAAGATCTAGGTTGGATGTCATTATGATGTTTGGTGTTGGGAGCGTCGATGTAGATATTAGTTGAATTATGGTCACTTTGTGGCTGCCTGTAATTTGTTGAATTTAAAATAGGAAGAAAAAGCTCAGCATGAAAGGATCATTATATGATAGCGCAAGGAAATATTTTATTATTCGAACCATTCACCGATGTTAAAATATCATCGGTGTGTCTACTTGTAAACGGGATGAAATGCAATGATTGCAGTCTAGAAATAACCTCGGATTCACACCTCGTGCCACATCTCCTAATATGAATGTGTTGGTATCAATTTGGTGTTGATTAAAGTGTAAAGTACTTCAGTCTTATCAATATAATTGATTGTATTATTCGTTTTGATCATTATTAACTATGGGAAACTAGTACTTGATATAGTAGAAGTGCTAGCGCTAGTGCATACGCTAGTATATACGCTAGTGTAATACAGTGCTCTCTTAGATTATATGATTGATATCCCGATACTGGCAACTCTTAAGTTGAATAAATCATATGCTTTAAGCCTAAGCCTATTATTCAATCTTAAGCATAGTATTCTATTCCTACTCCCTTAGCTCCCCTTCCATTATTCTCTTTCCACCCAATATGTTATTTTAATAACTATTTTATTAGTATCAATCAAGTCTTTTAAAGCTTGACATACACCGTTTTTAGTTATAACATCCACAGAATTCGATTTCCTATCAATCCATTTAATCTTCGTAATCTCCCTATTTTCGTAGCATTATTGTAAAGCTATAATATCGATTAGGAATTGTTTTTTCATACTTATACCGAGCTTAGTTAATAGGTTATATAATAACTTAGAATTTGTATAAAGCATGAGTGGTATTTGCTTTTTAGATTTGAGAATAGTATTAATAATACCCTTAATAGTAGTTTCAATATCAAAACCTAAAACTAATACATATAGTTTAAAAGCTAATATATTCCTAGTGATTCTCTTACATTTAATTAATATTCAGTGGATGATATTAGTATTGCTATGCTTATCTATAAGGTATATAATATAACTGATTTGTGATGATAGATTAGTATTATTAGTAAAGGATACATTGGTAAAGATAACTAAGTCAATAAAATCCATATCAAGAAATATAAAGATTAATCCTCTTCTTAAATTATCCATCTGCCATTTGATAACTTTATTAAACTTAATAGCATTTTCTTCCTTTGGATCTATTACCTGAACAGCAATTGAAAAATGGTATAATACCTCTGGTTGATATACTATTGTAATATACATATCTTTTACATATTGAGCGATATATTAGTTCTTCGAAATAACATTCTTTCGAATTTTTTTTCTTATTCCCCGTATATCAACACTCCTCAGTATAACTATTCGGAGATTATTACACTATTTCTTCTAATTCAGATAGATTCTATTACCCTTAAAAATAATTAAATCATTATTAAACTTAAGTGGATAATCTTCGATAAATTGCTTTTTGTTTTTAGCCATAAATCCGGCTTTCTTTAATTACTCTTATTCTAATTATACAAATCTTTTGTCTACAACTATAAAAGTATTATTGATTTATAGTCCTATAATGCTGATGTTATTATTAGAATAAAGTAAATAGGGATTGTATGTAAATTATATTATATTTAGTCTATCCCTATAGTGATTGTAGTAGATTCTAAATCAGTGATTTTCTATTTCTGATACACTATACAAGAACTTTATGATATATAGTATATATCCAAAATCAAGTCTGAACTTTTCTAGTATTTCTATATAAATAGATCTGTTTAAAGTTGTGGTTAATTAGGTATATACCTATATAATATTCCATAAATAGATTTGAATATGCTTATTTGATATTCGCAAAATAATAGTAAGTATAAGTATAATACATTGGTTAATATATTAAATAGTTAGTGATTACATCAAAACAATAGTTTTGCCTGTATTTTGATATACCTAAATTATTAGTTGTAATTTCGCGTATACTTTATTAATATCTTTTTCTTTTATTTTATTAACAAATCGTGATTTAAATAATCATATTCCGGATGGTATACTAGCTTTTGAGATGATTTTAAAAACTCTATTTTCTATTAGTTTGTTAACTTCCTTATATTGTAATTCCTTATATTATGTAGGTATATCATCTTACAAGAATATAGTTAGTTGTAATAGTGATAGCTTAATGTCGATATCTATCAAATTGATTATATTAATCAAGTTGCTTTTTATATAACGATATAGTTGCATATCTTGTCACGGATCGCACCCAATCGCAGCTGCGATCGCTCACGTGCGCGCTTGCGTACATGCATGATCATGTGTATATAGCTAGTATATAGGAGCGCTCTACGAGCGCTTTGCTTCCAATTCTGTAATTGTAGATTCTAAGAATAAATTGTACCCTGCTCTTACAGTTCTTTTAAGGTAAAGTATTATATTATTTATAATTCATTATACAATCGTATGGCTATCTGGTGGCTAATTAAATAATATCTTATAATTATAATACCTTCTTAGATATATCAAGAATGTTCGATATTATTTATAAAAAAAAAGCTGATTCTAAATAAATTTATTCAACAGAAAACAATAAACCCCTAATATACAGAGTTACAAGTATTATTATTATATCCAATTCATTTACCTTAAAAGAACTCCATCACTTTTCCCCTTTCACTGGCTGAACGCTTTTAGCTGATAATAGTCAATTTTAACAAAATAATGGTTATAGTCCTTACAATTCTAATATAAATACTAATAGATATGGAAAGGGTAAATAGCCTAGAAACAATTTCTCGATTAAGGTATTAATTTTTGAAAATAATATACCGATACACACTTTTCTATCACAAAAAGAATAAATACTGACTTTTAAAAACTTTGAGAATTTGTGGAATGAAATTATAAGATTCAAAAACGAATTACTATAACATAATCTTAATACCACTTACCCATTTCAATCTCCAAAATATTAATAGCAATATTATACAGATTCCCTTATGAATCGCAAAGTCCGAATTTCTAATATTCCAGTTGATTCTATTAAGAGAGCATCTCCTATTATCGGAAAAAAAAAGAATAAGAAAAACCCCCGTTTACAAAATCAGTCTTCGCAATAATCCCTTTCGAGTATTGATAACAAACCCCTTTCAAATCCGATCACCCTGCCAAGCAATCTACAAATTTATTGAATACTCTATTCTTATTTATTTACTATTACAATAAAATATTTATATATTCTAAAGCCCATTAATCTTTTATTCAAATTCAAAAATAGTGTAAAGCCGAAAGCAAGCCTCTAACAACTATTAATTACTAAGTAACTCGAACTTTATGAAAATTCGCTTATTTCGAAAATATAATAATAATCTTATATAATAGATTAGATAAAAAAAAAGATATAAGAATATATATTCTCATTATACATTCAAGTACCCCATTTGATAGAATAGCAATTAATTAATCAGCTCACAATTATTTACAAGAATTTGACTGAAGTCGATTATACACAAACTAAGTATGAATATTGAATCATACTTAATAATATTCAACAAGGAAACTTCCTAATATGATATTGTAGGTTTAAATTATTAACTACACAGACGGAAATTACCAATTCAATAACTCTTCTCCACAATTTGGAAAGAAAAATATTCGATTTCCTCCAATAAGCTATTAGCCTTTATATCAATGAATACTATATTATTGAGAATCTAACTACCAAGTTTATTAAAATCGATAAACTCGAAGTTATACTTTGAGAATGTAATTATTATAGAATAATTAAAGAGACATTTTTTAAAAAGTCGTTTAGTAATATTGATTTGTTGATTATTTCTAGAAGTATTCTTTACTTATCAGGTAATTCGAATCTATTTATTCAGTTTTATATTCAATATCCTTCTCGCATTTTTATTAGCTATATAGAAACCTTTAAGCCAAATAATACTTCATTTTCAGGAAACAATTTTAATTATAGTACTATTATCTCTATATTAGAAATGAATTATAGTTTTATATTATGTATAGATAATATAAACATTATAATCGAGATTCAAGAGATTAAAGAAAACGAAGAGTTTTATAATGTAAAAAAGAATATTGAAAAGAATGTAAATCAAAAAGTGCAAGCGAAAACTGTCAAGTCTACTTATATTACTAAAGATTAATATTTAAATCAATATGTTTAGATAGAAGTTCCCTTCTAAGTGCGATTCGGGATATAAGATTTCTTGATTTGATAAAACTAATAGGAAATGATTCCATAAACCTACTATGTATATTTTCGAAAAACGAATATTTATATAATACTCAATCTCTTATAGATTCCAAAGCAAATAATTTTGTTTTTATCAATAAAATATTCCTTTCATTATTATTCCCTATATTCAAACTTTACTTCATATTATTCAAATTATTGATTAAAATTAAAAGCTACAATAATATATAAAATAAAGTTATTACTCATTTCATATTTCTTAATTTCACGATTAATACTTAATAATAATCTTATTTATTATTTCTTATTACCAATTTGGATTTACATAATATAATCCTAGATTATAAATAATTAATAAAAACCCAAATTAAAATCGATTATTTTAACCAACATCTCGAATAGCTTTTTGAATATTCTTTTACTATTTCCTTATCAAAAAATATACTTTTAATTAGAAATAGTCTTTAACAATCCAAAATCAGTTATTTGAGATAGAAAGATGCTAATAATCGGAACATCTAATTAGAAGAGATGTACCACCAACTTGATAATGAATAACCGATTATAGCATTGATTGTACCTAAAATACTTATTATCTTTCCCTAAAAGACTAATACAGTAATCTCAGATATAATTGAAGCTTAGGTTTCAGTCAATTTGAAGAAAAAACCTATTCTCAATCAAATCTCTATTCAGTTTGTTTACAAATCCCTTCTACTTTGTATTTTCGATATATTTGATATTTATATATTCAAGTCAATTCAATTTCAATTTATTTGTAAGAGAAGTAAGGATTATAAGATCTTTATAGTTATATATATAGAGATTGATAATGTTATCTCGATTTATAAATCTAGTTAAGACAATAATTATCGAATCTCAATTGTAGTTATTGCCTTAAATAATTCTAAAC